AGAACTGACGACTCTTTAATCTGTGACTGCTCGCTTGTGTGAATGGCACTGTTGGTCACGAGAGGGAGTGTGTTCATAGCTCCTCTCCCCCACTCTCTCCTTCTGTTCTGATGGAACAGTCTGTCTATGGACTGGTCAAATTTGAAATCACTTAGTTGAGTTACATTTCTATAATCTGATGCTTAGTGAAACCAAAACACTGGGGATTGCACTGTGTTTGTCTATCTCTTGCTGAGGCCTGTGGTCATCCTTCCATTGGATGAGTATATTTGGCATCATGGTGGAAGTTGGTGGGACAGAACTTTCACCCAACATTTGCTTAAAGCCTTCCAGGTAAGGAGATTCATCCTGAATCCAATATAGCTCCTTGGGAATCGAGGAGTGAGCACCCTGATTTCAATAAAAGATTATTTTGTCTGTTTGTCCTGGGATGAGACTAGCAGTTGATGTTCATTGGACCCCTATTATGTGTCTGGAAACATTCTAAATGCTTTTTGCATTTTAAATAATTTAAGCCACATTATAATCCATTTAGGGAGCTGATAGATCATCATGATTGTTTTCACTGAACAGTTGAAAAAATGGAGACACAGAGTTTGCCAAGTTGGTGAGCTCCACAGTCAGAACGGGCTTGGACTTTAGCTCTGCCACCGAGTAGTTGCCTTTCTCTTGGAGACACCCAGTGGGTTGGAAGTCTAGCAGAAACGGGGCAGAATTAGGAGGAATGGTGCCTGTTCTCAGAACACCTCAGGCAAGGGAGGGACCAAGCCAAGTGAGCCCTGCTTTCCCTCTGGTGGCACCACAAACAGCTCCAGTGCTGGCATCTGTAACGTCTTACTGCTGGTATAGAGACCCCGATGCAGCATTTCTGATATTCTAGTTCTAAATTTGCTCTTTGACTGTGCCAGCCTTACCTGTCGAAGTTCACACCTTATTATAGATATTTTTCTCTTTTAACTAAAAATAAAATTATGGTTATTCATCTGCTTTGGTTTAGTGGATTCCTCTCTTCTTATCTCTAATTGTTTGGGTGCTGCTGCTCTCCAAAGAAACACTCATTTCGGGCAACAACTCCTCCCTTTCTGATAAGTTGGTCACCCCCCGTGGCTTGGTTTTGGTCTGACTCGATTTAGGCCACAGTTCAGATTGGCTCATTACTCTGGAGGCAAAAGCTAAGAATTGGCTCCTCTGTGTCCTATTAAATAAGCCTTTCTCCTTTTGAATAATTTTCCTATCAATAATGCAAAACACGAGTGCGCAATAAGGAGAAGAGGGAAGAGCAGCCTGAGAACAGCTGGGAAAATCCCCAACCTTTTGTTTGTTATGTTTGGTGATGGAAACTGATGACCTAATGTGTCATCATTTGATTCAGACTGGAAACAGCAATCAAACAATGGGGATCTGACCACAGGGACCGTGGTTCATCAGGGGAGTCTAGGAAAGGACTTTGGTGTCAGGGAGGTTAGATTTTGTGTATCAGGAGACGGGAGGAGAGTAAAGACGCAGGATGAGGACAAAGGTGGAGGACTTTTCATTAGATTTCCCAAGGGTTTCTCAAACTTAACTGAGGTTTGATGGGAATAATCTTTCTTCCAGAATCAAGTTATATGATATTGACACTACTGTCTTTTTTTAAAAATATATTTTATTGGTTTTTTACAGAGAGGAGGGGAGAGGGATAGAGAGTTAGAAACATTGATGAGAAAGAAACATCAATTAGCTGCCGCCTGCACACTCCCTACTGAGGAATGTGCCCGCAACCAAGATACATGCCCTTGACCGGAATTGAACCTGGGACCCTCCAGTCCGCAGGCCGATGTTCTATCCACTGAGCCAAACCAGTTACGGCAACACTACTGTCTTTGTTATGTTTTATGTAGTTCTCAGCAGCTGCATCATACCTGTGGGTCCAGGATCCCTTCAGGTAAACGTGGCAGGCCCACCAGACAAGGAAGGGTTCCTTGATGTTTGGCCTCCACAAATGAGTGTGTTAGCACATGATCCGTACACAGCACTCCAATGGGCTTTCCAGGGGCCTGCCCCTCGCCTCCTGTTTCCTCTTCTGTGCCTGAGGAGTCGCTGGGGATTTGTCTCATTCACTGAGTTGTCACACTGTATTCCAGACTCTGTCTGTGGATGGGCAGGGCATCAACTACATGTGTGAGAAAATGTATGTGTTGTGGTTCAAAAGTGAAAAAAAAGCCCAGTCATTTACTAGGTATTTGTTCAAAAACACGACCTGGACTGTTTGTTTCTTCCAGTCATTTTTCTTTCTTCTCTTAGAAGCTGCTCATGTGGAAGCGCTGTGTCAATGTTTCTTTCTCAACAACACAGGATGTGATGGCCTCCCTCTCCTCATTCTAAACACAAAAGAAGCCCTGATAGGATAGAGGGAAGTCCTTGGGTCCGTGCCCTTGGGCAGGGCCAACTCCCAACAGGACTTTGGTGTGAAATGATCCGGTTTTCATCACCCTCCACTGCCTTTCTGCACCCGCTGTGACCTTTCTTCTGGTTTAACAAGTGGTCATGGAGGCAGTGCGGGGTGGTGCTCACACGTGTGGACTTTGGACTCAGAGTGCCTGGGCTTGAATTCTGGTCGTGCCATTTGCTGGCTGTGTTACCTGAACAAGTTACTCCCTGGTCCTAAGTGTCAGCATCTTAAAGTGAGAGCAAAAATAGCCCTACTTCATGAGATCATTACTGATAACAATACCTAAGTGAGACCACACAGCTAGCCCTCTGCTGGACAGACAGTAAAGCTCCATAAATGTTAGTAATTATTATTGGATGTTAACTAGATCTATGAGACACTGAGCTAGGGCCATGGGGAAGGATGTTCGACTGACGGCTTAGAGCCTAAGCCGTCAGTCAGACATCCTTAGCGCTGCTGCAGAGATGGGAGAGGCTCCCACCACTGCTGCTGCGCTCACCAGCCATGAGCCCGGCTCAGGGCTTCTGGCTGAGCAGCACTCTCCCTCTGGGAACGCCTGCATTGAGCATCTGCCCCCTGGTGGTCAGTGCACATCATAGCAACTGATAGTTGTTTTTTTCACTTAGCATATTAGCCTTTTATTATATAGATGTTGAGAAATGTCCCTCCACTAACTTCCTCTCTTGCTGTACCCTTGCCCCAAATGAAACTCTTCATTGAAATGGGAACACTCACATATCTGAGCAGGCGTGAGTTAATATTGCTCAAAAAATAAGAGATACTAATGAATCTTACCACTGATTATCTTTGCAAAAGAAAGAAT